ATATGGAATTTGAAATGGTGGTCACTGTCTATCTAGCGCATAACAGAAGAATGGACATTGTTGACAAAATGGAACATGGAATATCACGTGAACATATTTAATGATAAGAATCCAAAAAATGATTAAATTTAAAAAACCATTATTCTTCGAGCGATTCTATTAGTCACATAATTTTTATTTTTTTTTTTTACTTTGCATGTCGTTCCAACTCAATTTTTTTTACTTGCATGTCGTTCAAACATCCCTTGTGGTATTTTTAATTTAGCGAGATTCATTCAATCGATCCGTCTTTTGAGTACTCTCTTAATGTAACGTTTTGTACTATTAAATCATATTTTAATAAAATTACCTTATTTTATAAGAAGTAGAGAATTACTAAAATTTCCTTCCTCTCCTCTATAAAACAGAAAGCTGTACATACCCTTACTTAAATAATTAACATAATTAATATAAAAATACACAAAGATAACTTGCAAAATATATGTATATGTATTTTAATGTATTAGTTTTCAACATATCCAAGATTAAAAAATAAATAAATAAAAGGTTTCAATAAAGTGAACATGGTGTATGATATGATATAACTTTGAAAATTGAAGTGAACACGGTGTATGATATGCTCTTAGCATATCAGTTGATGTATATATACATGAGTTCGTGATAGGGATTTTCGATATATCGCGTATACCGTACAAAATGCTTGATACAGATCCAATGGATATCAGAAAGTCTAATCCGGCCCAACACATAAATGGGCTTTGCTATGAAGAGCAGCCTAATTACATTTTTTAATATGCACGTCGCATTTACGGCCCAGCGTTAGACTGACCCAGCTTGCAAGTGTTATATATCCCCCTTCATATAAAGGCTCGTTTACATCCATGCTATACCCTATAATTCTATATAAATAATTGCACTTATATGACTTGATAACATTTATGTGCATCAATACTAAATTAATTTCAAATAATTAAATTGGGCTCTACTTATTAAATTAGTTTTGGTATGTCTTAGTGTCGCCTAATTTACTGGTTGGATACTGAGGGTTTTCTTCTTGCGTTATTTATTTATTTATTCATAAAAGATATCATTTCTTTTTTCTTCAGCAACCTTAGATTTTTGGGGCCTGTTTTGGAGATCACGTATCATACTTCTAGTTGAGGTTTACTCATCTTCGAGTTTGGTTTGAACTCTATCTGACTTGGATTCAATTTTCGACTTCTTGATAGAGTTAACTCGGCTATTATGAGTGAGCTTACTTGGATGCTAGTGTGTTATAGTGATATTGATCGTGCTACGTTCCTTTAGTTATTAACAATGTTTAATAAAATATTTACATATTTCACCTTAATTCATGTCTTATTCAACCAAAAATTAATTACAATTGAACCGGAGATAATTGATTAAATAATTAGGTAAGTATAATATAATAAATATATTAAATAGTGGCGTACTCTTCACTACATCACTAGTTCACTTCACTATAATATGCAACACGCGTATGATATAACTAATACTTTAATGTAGGGTGGTCTATCTATTCTACACCAACCATATATATTATTTCTAACAGTGCCTAGTTTTTTAAGGTCATCTTGGNTATTATTATTATTATTATTATTATTATTATTATTATCTTATGTTGTAAACAAATAATCCAGCTAATCTTTTTCATTGATATTGCTTAAAATTGGTGTTGAATAGTCGATATTATTCTTAAAGTTCACATTACGAAGGAAACAATTAAATCTTTAAAATATCTGAAATTTTTTTTAATCAATTTTAGACAAAAACAAAAATATATCAAACGGATTGCATTTTTCATTATTATCTACTAATAAATTCCATACTCAGTTAAAAGTACAAAAGAAAAACTTGGATAAACACCCTATCCAAGTGAGGATTAATTCGAGCCCGAACTATATATATTTCTCTATCTCTGAATGAATTCAAGTAACAATTAATTGAATAACTACGTACAGGAATGAGAAAAATGATGAAGTATCATAATTGTACAAATAAATATTGCTTAATGTTATGATTTATAATCTTAATCATACAAATATTTATGACTTCTCGGTCACATACATATATTAAACGATAAAATGTTGGCTTTTAATGGAACATCTAATTTGGAACGTAATCAAACAATTAGGCTTCCTACAAAAGGAGTACAAATACTAGTGAAGCTTGCTACAAAGGAATGTTACAACAAGTGAAGCTTGCTACAAAGGAATGTTACAACAACAATTTGAACACACATCAAACAATTGAATTTGAAGCTTGCTACGAAGGAATATAACAACACAGTTTAAATTTGAAAACACATCAAACAATTGAAGCTTGCTACCAAGAGTAGAAAACAATGGTTTGTTTGAAGGAGAGAATAATGATTTAAATTTGAAGGAAGGAATAAATAACCTTTTTCGAGAAGGCAAGCAAAAATTCATCTCATTATTCAAATGGAAGGTATTATACTCAAACAACTAGAAAGTCTGAGTCTGAGTCATATCAATTAAGATAAAATCGAATATTTTTAACAACTAGTCAACAATTGTGATACAGATAGTTAATGAGAATAAAT